TACCACTTGGGATTTTGGCGTGGTTTTGTACCACTTGGGATTTTGGTGTGGTTTTGTACCACTTGGGATTTTGTGTGGATGCGGTTGCGTCTATTAGGATACTAGACTGCCTACGTACCCTTGATGGGATCAAACCGGCGTAGTTCCAACAATGATTTGTATGGAGAGAGATTTGTTTTGTGAGAATTTGGTTGATGTAACCAGTGATTCAAATTTGTTTGCAGTTGCGTCTATTAGGATGCTAGACTGCCTACGTACCCTTAATGGGATCAAACCAGCGTAGTTCCAAAAAGATTTGAAATTAATGGGTAAGTGTAGCCCAATAATTTAGAATTTGTGTCTTTGAGACAATTTGAAAATTTTCATAGGTAGATGACCTATGAGAAAAATTGAAAATTAATGGGTAAGTGTGGCCCACTAATTGAGAATTTGTGTCTTTGAGACAATTTGGAGATTTTCATATATTGAGACAATTTGGAGATTTTCATAGGTAGATGACCTATGAGAAAAATTGGAAATTAATGGGTAAGTGTGGCCCACTAATTGAGAATTTGTGTCTTTGAGACAATTTGGAGATTTTCATAGATTGAGACAATTTGGAGATTTTCATAGGTAGATGACCTATGAGAAAAATTGGAAATTAATGGGTAAGTGTGGCCCACTAATTGAGAGTTTGTGTTTTAGAGATTTAAATTTGATCTCATTGGAATTTTCATGGGTAGATGACCCATGAGGAAAATTGGATGGTTTTGTACCATCTTTCTTTTTGTCAATGTCCAAGAAAAATAATGAGCAATTTTGATTAACCCACTCATTTTCTAAAATTGACATTTGCATTTGGACCCAAATATGGCTATGAGGATTTTTAAAATTAATCCATTAACCATATAATGGGAAATTTGGGCCTCTGTAAATTTAATGGGTATTTATTTGACCACCCATTAAAAATACTGGGCTTTTTGAGAATTAATGGGCAATTATTTTTAACAGCCCATTCATCCATTTTGGGCGTTTGATTTTTGTTGTCAATTAGCCCACAAGAAAGGAGCTCAGAAAAGCTTTGGTGCAGCAGCCGATTGAAACAACCTAATAGCTATTCAACTCTTTGTAGAGCTTGTTTCCAAGTAAAATCAGACCTTGCACTCCGACATTTATCTGTAATACTTGAGATCAGTCCAAATTGATAGCAATCTTTGTATCTGTTCAGCCTTTACAAGATTACACAGCCTGTTTAAATGAGGCATGGTCTGACACGAGCACGAATATTAATGGTCTGTGCTCGGCACAGCATGAAAACTTAGGCTGGGCCGGGATCGAAAAATGAGGCCCAATGGACTGGGCCGGCCCATGACTCGACATGGGCCTGGCTTGGCCTGAGCCCTCTTCATGCACAGTCCTAGCCCAAGCCTGCTTCAAGCACGGCCCAAGCCTGGCCCACTTAACAATTTCTTTTTTTCTCAAAAGTCAAAATGCAATAATTTGACATCTAATGTCATTGTTTATATAGTTTTTTTTTATATAATCATAAACATAAATTTGATGTCTTTCATTTTAGGGAAATTACTTGGGTCCTTAATTAATTAAACATATCAACTACAAATTAATTAAACAACATTGGACTTGATATCTAATTAGTACATATGACATATACGCTTATCTTATAATCAAAGCAAGACATTTCTTCACATATAAAGTAATAAGTTGTTTAAAGATGAAAAGTTGAAGGGGACTTTGTGGAGTGGGACACTTTTTGCCCTCCGTCCTTTCATATTGTTTGATTGTTTGATTGATTAATGTTTTCAAATAGTTCATCATTTCTTGCCTCTAATTATATTTTTAATGTTTATAATTTGAATTATGTAGTGGAAAAAAAAAATCAAGTGAAAAAAAAATCAAATTAAATGGGTTGGTTCTTGTGCTCGAGTATAGCACAAGCACGAGCACGAGCACGGGCACAGCACTTGCCTGGCCTGGCCCGTTTCAATGTGGACATGGGCTTTGGGCTAGGCTGGGATAAATAATTTTACTGAATGGGCCGACACGGCATGTCCCGATAAATTAAATCGGCCGGCCCCGCCCAGCACGAAAATGTAAAAAGCACGAGTTTAAATGGGATGACCCAACCCAGCCCGGCCTGTTTGACACCTCTAATATAGACTGGGGTTCCTGGGAAACCAACTTGGAGAGACTGGGTCCGAATCCTGAAGTACCCATTTCTGAGGATTAACTCCCTTAGACCAGCTTGGTGGACGAAATGATGACCAGATACCAAGGTAAATGGCTGTAAAATGGGATATTTTATGCCATCCTACTATCGACGCATCAAATTGAATTGAATGCGCCTCTGTTGAGTGCCACTTTGTGCTATTGGGATAGCACTTCTAACACTTTTGCCTTTGGGCCTGGTCCAGTGACCCCTACCCTCTTATACATGGTTGCCCTTTTTGGCTTCAGACCTTGTGAGATGAGCATGGATGGTTTGGGGGACTATGAGTTGAAGAAAACAAGATCGAGAGTCCAATGAAGGCTACCAGAACAGAGATTGTGCGTCTGTGAACCTATTTTGGATTCGTGATGACGTACAAAGGGATGGCTGATCGAGATTAAGAGCATATGATGTTCTTGCTCTTCTGGCTAAATAAATTCATTTTTCGCAATGCTGAAAGGAAGGTGAAGCCAGAATATATGCATCTAGCTGAGGCCCTTCACAACGAAGTAGGTGTGGCTACAGGCCAATTTATGCTGGCCTTTCTTTATCACTGCCTTCACCGAATCACCATCAATCCGCTAAACCTCAATGTCTGTGGTCCAGTCTGGATGGCACAGATATGTCTGGAGTGGTATTCCCCAGAGCTTGGGAATGACGCGTTGTAATTTCTTGAAGACGATGTCCCAGCCACTACTTTGGCCATCGGCTCCAAGAGACTTGTTAGCACTGAAGAGTGCTATGTCTTTTTCAGAAAATGCAAGCAAAAAGAGAGAGAGATCTGGCTGCTCTCACTCACCTGTGGCCATCCTTGGTTAGGGATAGAGGTCTTCACCAAGCTCTTACTCATTAGAAAGATCTATCTACCATAAGAGCCGTTGTCCATGCTAACAGAGGCGTTTTTTTCTTATCCAGCATGGATCTTTTCTTTGGTGGGATTCATACCACCAAGAAGTGTCGGTATGGGGTGGTGGCATATAATCCTCAATTTTCCAATAGGAAGTTTGGGTTGGTCCAAGCGATCCCAGAACTGAGGTATAGTTCTGTGAACAAAGGGAGGTCTTGGAGAAAAATGGACCTGACCCCTCAGGAGGTTAAGGCGGTAAGAACAGCCTGAGGACCAGAAGCAAGAGTGTGAGGGTGCCTCCTTATAAACTGACCCCGCTCTGCACTCCAGCCTTCCCTGAGTTTTGGGAGAACAAACTCTTCTCATGGCTCCCAGAATTTGCCAAACTTCTCTATACTATAGCCTTTAAAGACTGCCATTTTGCTTGATTGATGACAGAGCAAGAAGAGTCGTCTATGCTGAACATGTTGAAGCGTCCTCAGAGGCTATAAGTAATAGGTAATCTCTCACCTTTTAGCCAATAGTTACTTAATCTAGCTTGATGAGTAGGTTTTAACAATCTAGATTGTTTTTGGTGTTTGATAGAGACTGTTATGGGCTAGCTAAGTAGCCTTGAAGAGGATGGTAAGAATCTTGTCAAAGTTTTGATTTTTTTCTTTGTTGAATGATGCTAATTTTGTATTCCCTTGTTAGCAGATTGAAGGGCCTCTTTGGTTTCTGGTGGGGATTCATTAGAAGGAGAGAAGGGGGAAGAACACCAGTTCCACCACCTCCCTCTCAGCCTTCTGGCCTGAGCTTGGGCCCTAAGCACAAAGGAAAAGCTCCTCTTGTTGAGGAAGAAGGTGAAGAGGAGGACGAGGTTCTTTTCCAGAGAAAATGCATGCTTTGCGGATAGTCACCACTTGTCAGTGGCTCAGCAAACTTATAAGAATGTAAAAATTTCAAGGATTAACTTGACATTATATTATGTATTGCTCGCTAGTAAGTAGTAAATATTATATTCATAATCAAATTCGAAATTCACTTGCCATCCGAACATAAAATCCAAAGCTCGTAATGCAACATTTTTAGTTTCTTTTTCTTCCAATAAGGGCTCAAACCAATTTGACACAAGTGTTATCCTTATCACTCCATTTTGAGATGCCTGCACAAGAACATTTAGTTTGTTGTTTTAGAGTCGCAAAAGGGTAAAGTAGTTGCCCTCTTGTTGCAACAAACTAATTAATTGTACCTGGTATCTAGTTTTGTACAATTTTACGGTAGTTGCATGAGTAAGGAGCTGGTGGTGTGTTACTAAATATGGTTCAATAGATGAATCTCCGCCGGTCTTCATAAGAAAGGACCCCTGTTTCAGATGCAGGAACTCAGATTTATTCGCATTGCAGTAAGAATGCGGGTAGAAAACACGCTGAAACTTCGCCTAAGTAATGGCAGTAGGGTCGGCATAAGCCCTATGGACCTTTTCCACCAGTGGTAAGCATTCCCCTTCAAGAGTAAAGCAGCTAACTGCACTCGGTCTTCATCAGGGCACTGCAACACTTCAAACAACCTTTCTGTGTCGGTGAGCCAATTCTCAGCTTCAGCTGGGTTTGCACTGCCAAAGAACTCATGTGCTCTTAACTCCTTGACTCTGTTGATATCGGAACCTTCCATGTTACACCTCCCTTGTAGGGACGTAGTGATCGTTCGAGTGAACTGGTCCAGTACATGATGCAAGTCAAACTTGTTCTCACCAGCTCCCTCACCGACAGGTGGAGGTGGTGGAGGTGGAGATGGAGATGGTGGTAGAGGTGGAGATGGTGGTGGAGGTGGAATGGGCTCCCTAGGCTCGGGAAAACGGGTCCTCGGTCTACCACATCTAGGAGGCATAGCGCTATATGAAAGAAAATAGAGGAGCCATTAGTTTCAAGAATGCAAAACAAGCATAAAAGTTGAAGGAAAATGAACTTAATGCTCTGATACCAAGTTGACAGGACCCGCCCCGAATTCCTCGGAATCCGTGACGAATCCTATAATATTTTTGACATCATACTGATGCCGGGTCCACTTACTAAAAAGGGACGAGACTTTCTGCTGAAATTTCGGCAGTCTCCCTGGAAAAACGGACATTTCCCAAATTTTCCAACCTGTTAAAAACACAGTTTATAAACCCAACAAGCAGCATGCACAATGCAAATTCATACAGTTTACATAATAGGCCTCCGACCTTACATTCAACCCTAGCATGGGCGATAACTGAGCATATCTAAAGAATTTCAGTTTACAAACGAAACGAAGTTCAACATAAATAAAAATAGATCAAGATGGTCCTACAGAAAGTTGGAGCTCGGAAGTTAAGATATGGGCTCGGCCATTTAACTCAGCTCAACTATTGCCTCAGGGGCGTAAAACAGAAAACATATGAGTGGACAAAAACAAAGTTTGTTATCCTTGAAAACAACATATAATAACCCCACCGTTTAGAAAACATTGTTGAAAACGATATGCATTCAAAACAGACATAGCTATATATATATATATATAGCTATGTCTGTTTTGAATGCATATCGTTTTCAAAGTGAAATATGTATTCTCATAATAGTTTACTCACACCATCCCATTCAAACCTTTCCCGTTTTTCCCAAACTACTCTCCCGAAACGCGTGCCCGTTGGCACGGCGAGCGAGGAAGTATCCTCACCGATAATCAAGAATGAATGTATAGGTATATATATACATATATAATATAATATAATATATATTTATGTATGACCAGTACCAAACTTGTACCGGGGAAACAATCCGACAGGAGGATTGTTTGACTAGACCACATGGAAGAATCCGCAATTGACCATGTGACTAGGGAACGAGCCGTCCAACCGGGAGACTGGGCTCACTAGCTTGTGACAAGTCCTATGCGCGCAGACTAACCCTGCTAAGGGTCTACGAAACACCCCGTCAAGGGTGCCCGGGTTCCGTCATATCCAAGTATCTCATAATTCCAAGTATCCAATTCCATTATTCCAAATCCGGGGAGGAACATAGGGTAGTGCTAATAGCACTCTAACTGACATAAACCATAGCCCAACTCACATTCCATAATCCCTTTCTCAAAAACCCATGTACCCCACAAATAACCAAGCATAGATAGAAAATCTCAAAAATAGCATATATCAACTCAAGATAAACACAATATGCCAATACCCAAATGTATTTAAAATACTTTCATAAAAATATCATGTTTCAACATTTAATTACATAATAAACTCAATAATCAATAAATCATTATGCATAGCTTTCTGTCATGAAAATAATGTTTATGATTTAAAAACAAAGTCCTCTCACAGATAATCAAATGCTGCCTGACCCTGAGAGGGTCCCGCTGTTGGGTACGCTGAGCTGAAGTACCTATTGAAGAATACGAGGACTAGATTAATTAAACTGCTTCGAACGAGAACTTTAAAGTAAATTCCTAGTTTTCCCAATATTTAAAGTGTATGAATTACAAACGAGGAGTTCCTAAAGTTCAACTACGTGTTTCGAAGGGTGGAATAACGTCGAAAGACGCTCAGTCAACTGGCTGGTCAAACTTCCCAAACTTGATCAACCGTCCCCCTTCCGATTTCTGATCCGAAAGTTCCTACGGGTTTATTATACACGTCTTGCAAGATTGGTCATCGCCCGCGATTGCACAATCGGACAGTTACCGTTTAACGCAAACTTTAAGTCATTGAACTGGGGCATTCGGGACTCCGATTCACGATCCGCGAATTCCTACATGATCCTAGAGGTCTCTAGATCAACATGTTTGAAAATGGAATTGATCCAACTGTCTGAACATATCGAACCCGGATAACGCCTAATATGCGTAAATTCGATCGACAGTCAAACTGTAACCAAATTCAAATCCGAGCATACCGTCATGCTCGGGACGACATGGGGAACATTTTAGGACCAAATGGGTCACCCACACTTGGCCCATGCGCCGCCATAGGCGCCGGCAACGAGTGTGTGGCTTGAGAAAATTCTGGTGACCGGAAAATTCTCAAATAACCCAACAATACCTATACCTACGTGGGCAGGACAACGAGTGGAGCAACTTTTGTTCTTGGACCATGGCCAAAAAGTGACCATAACTTGCCAAAAACTCGAGGTGAAAACCGGCCAAACTTTAAGTTGTAATTCAAGTTTCAAAACTCAAAAATCGATCTTAATCAACCCAACCATCAGCTAGATCATATTGAGAGGATGAGAAAGCATACCTAGATCGATAAAAATGGTGGCTGGAATCGCAGGAACGAACGTCGGAAGTTTTAGGTCAGAATCGTCGACTTTTTCATATTTTCTAGCGATTGTAGGTGGCGGTTCCGTCATAGGTGGGGTGGGGTAGGAAGAGGGAAGTTGGCCAGTCATTTTGGGACCGGTCCCAGCGCAAGCGGTGGCCGAAGGTGGCGGTGGTGGCCCAAAAACTGCGACGGCTGTAAGAGAGAAGAAGATCGTGAGGGAGAGATAAATCTGAATTTTAAAATTGGACTTAGAAACATTTACGGTTGTGCCACTGCACTTCCGTAACTTTTTCGTTACAACTCTGATTTAAGCCCACTACGTGCCTACGAACTCGTATTGACGTGATCTATTCTTGGTGCCATTCAATTCCCCAAAATCCTACCGGATTAAAAAGTGACCAAAATAACCCTATCCCCGAGGGCAAAATTGTATTTTCATAATTAATAATTAATTAAATTAAATAATTTAAATGAATAATTAAAATGGAGCTGATCCAATGGTCTGAACATATCGAACTCGGATATCGCCTAATATGTGTAAATCCATTCGACCGTCAAACGATAATCAAATTTGAATCTGAGCATACCGCCATACTCGGGACGACATGAGAAACATTTTAAGACAAATGGGCCACCACCCCATGGCCCACGCGCCGCCACACGTGCCGTCAACGCGTGGGTGTCTTGAGAAAATTTCGGGGACCAGAAAATTCTCAAAACGCCCAACAATACGTAAACCTACGTGATCAGGACAACTAGGAGATAAACTTTTGTTCTTGGAACAAGGCCAAAGACTAACTAGAATTAGCCGAATCGAAGCCGAAACGGTCGGCCACAAATAGGTTTAAGAATCAATCTATAAAACCTCAAAATTAACCCAAATCAAGCACATAAACAGGTAGAGCACGAAGAGTAGATGAAGTTTCATACCTGGTTCGACAATTTTGGCCGCTGGAATCGCCGGAAATTACACGAGCAATTCCGTCGACTAACGGGGTTTTCGGCTCGGTTTCAGTCGAAAATCGCGATCAATCTAAGAGTTTCGAAGGTGGAAATGGGTATGGACGTGTAGAGGAGGAAGGGACGAAGATTTTGCAAGTCGTTTTGTCTGAAACGGTGGTCGAGCGAAGTCGGAATTGACGTCGGATACGTAGCTATGTGACAGAGAGAGAGAAAGGGTCATGAGAGGAGAGAGAGAGAGAGAGAGAGGCTAACTGGTTTTTAAAAATCTGACTTCGAAATATTTACGGTTGTGCCATTGCACTTCCGTTGCCCATAATTTCTTCGTTAAAACTCCGAAATTGGGCCCACTACGTGTCTACGAACTCGTATCGACGCGTTCTACGCCACGGTGCCACTCAAATCCGAAATATCCTTACGGGTCGAATAGTGACTATCGTGACCTTACTCCGAGGGTAAAATTGTAATTTCACAATTAAATAAATTAAACAGATTAAATAAATGGTTAAACTTGGGTCGGGGTGTTACAATTTGGGTCATTGAAGTTGAGCCTCAAGTTCGATTAAAGATCAGTTTTCACGTATGTGCTCGTATCATGAGCCGTACTATAACCTCTAAACAGTGGTTCACTAAATTTCAAAAATTTTGTCATCGTGCCATATGGTCAAAGTACAATAGAATTTAAACGAATAGGTGAAAATTTGGGAATTTTTTTTATCCTAACACCCCCTGAGGTTTTTCGTGTTTTCACCAAACTCCTTGAGGTCCTGAAAATTACATAAACATCCTTTTATGTTTCAAATTAGTTTCACGTAACTCCAAAAATCCAAAAAAACCTAAACCCTGATATAACAATACTTCTGCATAGACTAGAATACCCCTCATGGTATTAGAATACTGTTTGGATAAAATTGTACCGTAATCTCTGCCCAATATTATACTAGTAAAAATAAAAAAACCAACCCATCAGACACGCATTGTACGCTTGCCCCAAGGAAAAAATGACGCTTTCCTTCTCAATCTCTTCCATGCCTCTCCAATATGTTTCCAATCACAACAACAACAAAAAAAAGGTCAATCCTAACTCAAACCAAAAAATCAAACCAGAGCAACTTCTTCACAATGGCTGAGTACCAGCTTCTTCATTTGCTACATGGGTTTTGCTCACAACGTCTTGACTTGGAGCAGGGCCTTGACTTCCTATTTCTTGGCTTGTTGGATTAACTACTCCCAACTTAAATCATAACGCTACAAAGCAGAAAGATCAAGGTGCAATGAGATAGCAGGATTTGAGAATTCTCTTTCAAAGCAACAAAGGATTTCGATGATGGAGCAGAGATGGAAGAGATGTGAAATTGGTACTTATGTGACGAGAGGTAAATTTTATGACACTTAATCAAAACGCAACAATCTTCACACACTTTAGACCTTGACCAAATACACTTATGACTAGTCAACTGCTAGTCATGAATAACCACAACATAGAATACACAGAGAGCATGCCACAATGTACCTGCAACCCTAGAAAATTACTAGTGACAACCTAGGCACTCAAAAGGACCCGTCAATCTAGGCATCCCCTGTGCTAGCAACAACTATGGTGGAAGTGTGTGAAATCATCATAATCAAGTAAACACCAAACATCAGATAATGATGACTAGTCAACTACAAAGACACAAACCCAGAATTCATATGATGACTAGTCAACCACCAAGAACAAACCCAGAATTCATACGATGACTAGTGAACCACGAAGAATACAAACCCAGAATTCATACGATGACTAGTCAACCACCAAGAACACAAACCCAGAATTCATACGATGACTAGTCAACCGTCAAGAACACAAACCCAGAAAAGTCAGATATGCAAACCAGAAATTTGTTCACCCAGAAACCCCCC